AAAATATCAAAGTCATCCTTTTCATACCAGTTCATCCCAAAACGCAATCAAAACCAAGAAAATGAAAATACAAAATCCCAACACCAAAACAATACGTCCGAAAATAATCAATCGCATACCAACTCTTCCAAATTAACAAGAAAAATCCCCAACACTAACTCTCCATAACACTACCATCTCCACTTGACTTTCTCCATCTCTTGTTCAAGCTGGTACATATCCTCTCTCTTCCACTCCGCGGAAAAACACGATTTGATCCGAAAACACTTCTTTCACTGCAAATTCATCACAAAGTCTCTGTGCAACGCAAAAGATTCCTTGCTGATAGCCTTCGTCAAGAAATCTGCATGCTGAAACTCCGACGTCACATGCGTAATCGAAATCTCCTTCCTCTCTACCAGTTCCCTGATAAAGTGATGCCGTACATCGATGTGCTTCGAGTTTGAGTTCGTGATCGGGTTGTGCGCAATCTGAATCGCTCCCTGATTATCCTCGAAGACCGGAATGCACGGCATACCTGCATCTGGCAACATAAAACGCCAAACCTGCCTCAAGAAAAGCACTTCCTTCAAGACGTCGGCAATTGCCACATACTCTGCTTCCGTTGTGGAGAGCGTGACGCACTTCTGCGTCCTCGAAAACCAAGTCACACACCCACCCCCACACATCACTAGTCCTCCTGAGACCGACCTACGGTCTGCTGCCTTGCTTGCATAGTCGGCATCCACAAACACCTGCATGCTCATGCCAGTGACCACTCCCCTCTCAAATGTAATCCCCATCCAACTCGTCCTACGCACGTACCCTAAAATACCAAGTGCTGCCTTCCAGTGCACCATCTTGGGAGACGCGCAATACCGCGCTACTGCTCGTACTGCATTCGCGATGTCCGGCCTGGTTTGAGTGGCCAACCACATCAGAGATCCTACCAACTCGCGAAACGGGACATCAGCACACGCTTCGTTTTCGTCAAAGTCGGTGAGCTTCACGCTCACAGGCAAGGGCACACTCTTCCCCCACTCAACGCCGTACTCTGCAGCCAACTCTTCTGCAAACCTTTGCTGCGAGATCCTCAAAAGGCCTCTCTCTAGATCTCTCTGGTAAAAGCACGCGGAGTACCACCTCAACTCCCCAAGGTTTTTCACGGGGACCATCTCGTTGAGGTCACTGCCAAACTTGTCACACCTCTCCTTCTGCCCTACGGCAAAAATGTCATCCACGTGGACCACAATGATCATGATCACACATCCATCCTCCATCAATCGAAAAACACATGCATCCGCCAAACACCGCACAAATCCTAAAAGTAACAAACACCTCGTCAGGTGCGCATGCCATTGTCGTGATGCCTGCTTCAAACCGTACAGACTCTTGCATAGTTTCACGATCATTCCAGATAACCTACCACAACCTTGCGGGAGACGCAGGAAAACATCCTCTTCAAGCTCAGACTGCACAAATGCCTGCTGAATATCGAAATGGCACAAGT